ATAAAAATTTAAATTAATTGAAAAATTTTCCTTAATAGTTTGAGAAATTAAATATTAAAAACATAAAATATAAATATAATATCTTTATGATATTTCTGTATTCATTAATTGAACCATTCTTTTCATTTTCTCGATATAAACCATACTTTGTATGCGTTCCGACATAGACCGATCTTCACGCCTTATGCGAAATAGACCACTTTTCATTCATTTCTTGACATAAACCTTTCTTCATGTTTTTCTCGATATAGCACCTTCTATGGCTCAGGCGTCGAAATACATTCTTTAATACCTTCTTTTATTTTCTCTAACAAAAGAACTCGATTCTGTCCTTGGAAACATCGAACGTTCTGGTATTTTCTGCACAGATTTATTTTGAATTTTAATTTCATTTAAATATATTTAACATTTAAAAAATACTATGCTATTATAGAAACATTAATTATTTAATTTAATATTTATTTTTTATATTATTTAATTACAATATATTATAATTGCTTGTAATTCCAGTAGTCAATACATTTCACATGGTGCACTCTTTTGTATATACAAAAGAGTGCACCATGTGAAATGTATTGACTACTGGAATTACAAGCAATTATAATATATTGTAATTAAATAATATAAAAAGATTAAATGTTAAATTAAATATTAAATTTTTTAATATTTTGTATATCTTTTAAAATGTTGAATTAAATATATTTAAATGAAATTAAAACTTAAAATAAATCTGTGGATAGAAAATATTGGAGCATTCGATGATTCCAAGGACAGAATTAAGTTCTTCAATAACAATATAAATTTAGTTCAAAAGATAACTTTTAACTCTTCAAAATATAACAATAAGAATTAAACTTTCTTGTAGATTGAATTTTAGATTAAATAAATATTATATTATTAAATAAAGCCTTTCTTAAAAAAATCGTTTTCATCATAATACATATATCTGCATATAAAATTTAGTATACACACGCATATATATATCACACTACACAACATGGCTAAAAAAATAACTAAACTTTAATTATCATTAAAATTGTGTAATAATAATTTTAAAATGTGTAATTTTTATATAATAGCTGATTATAGAGAAATATGTTCTTTTTTTTTAGCAACTAAAAAGATGACAATTTTTTAGTTATAATGTAGCAAATGAGCAATATTATATCATATCACAATTCAATTTTCTTTATAACGAATGCTATCAATGATAACAATATAATTTTAACAAACATGTGAACGTGATCGACCAATCGCGATTCAGCTTTTCACGTTTATAACCTTATAAAGTTTCTTTATCGAAATTACAATCGTTGAAGAAAATGTACAAATAATGGAGAATTCTTTTTTGTTTTCTTTTACTTTATTCCAAAAAATATTTCGCAATTAACAGAAGTGAAAGGAGTATGCTGAGTTGTTGCGTACGTTGCGTGGTGATTGATAATGGCTGGAGGTAGAACTGCGTCGCTGGATCGATAACTCGGCTATGCCATTACCTCATCGCAACTTACATGAGAGTTACGCAAAAATGTGTAACATTTTTATATACTCACCTCGATATCGCTCATCGCCGATGTCTCTCAAACGGTGGATTTGTGTCGTATAAAGGTCAAGATGCTTCTTCACGAGCTTGTAGATGCGTATCTTCGCAGACACGACAATAATATGGCGAAGCCAGCTAAGGCCGGACTTCGGAGTCACTCTCGTCAGACAGGAAACGCCGGGCCCGAGACGCAAATGAACATACCAACATCCGGTGACGTCGTCACGGCAACGGCGACGCGTAAAGCCTGATCTACATAAAATCCAGAACACGAATCGCAGATTGCAAGTTTGTTGCATCATAACCAATTTGATGTTTCAATTTAAAAATGAAGGTAAATTTTCACAAGCTGTTTTTCACATTTTATAACAACCAAAAATTATTTAATCGCTTATTCATTACATTCACGTGAATTTGTTCACTTTTTGTATATTTATTCCTAGGGAAAACTTTACATAATCGATACCCAGAATGTAAGAACCAATCAACTACAGTCGAGCATCCCCCTATCATTCGACTGTAACAGGGGAATACTCGAGTAGTTGGTTGGTTCTTACTGATCCAGATTAAACCCTTGGTGGAAACTAAGCCATTGTGTCGACTTGTATCGACTTGTGTCATCAAATGGAAAACCCAATAATGAAAGGGGAATAGCCTATCCAATCAATGAATGGAAAGTGTGAGCAAAACTGAGAGACAGAAGATGTATATTTCTGTTCTGCTCAGTAACTTTTCTTCTTTCTGCGCATGTGCCAAAAAAGAGAATAGAAGAGGATAGAAAGATATTTCTGCGTATCAATTATGAAACTTTTTCCCTAGGAAAAGTGAAAAGTAAAAAGTGAAAAATTTCTCCATTAATTTTAATTAAAACATTTCACTTTTCATTTTCCATCCTATGATACATACATATTGATACACAGGGCTACATTCGCATTCTTACCTGGATGCCTTCGGATATCATCCTTGTTTAACGTTTAATACACAACAAGGATGATATGACATCCGGGGAGCACCGCGGATCCCAGGCGGGAATCCGAACGTAGCCTAGAGCAAAAGAAAGAAACTTCTAACAATTGCAAAATAAATGTTCTGTTGAACGCAATTCTCTCATACTCGGAGGAGATACTTGCAATTGCCCACGATCCAATTGTGCACAAGCCAATCATAACGCCAATCATAACGCATAAGAGAAAAAATATTTAAAAACTCCCTAGACAAAAGTCGCTGTAATTGGCAGTGGGCAATTCCTACAGTACGCAATTGAATCGCTCTCTACTTGGAGTTGACAAAGTCGTTTTTGGAACGCATCTCTGTAAGCATCGATGGTCTAGTTTCCACTGAGGGTTTAATTCGGATCAGAATGTAAGAACCGACCAACTACAGTGGAATTCCTCTGTTACAGTCGAACAGGGAAATGCTCGGCTGTAGTTAGTTGGTTCTTACATTTTGATTCGATTAAATTCTCGGTGGAAACCAGGTCATTAATATCGTCCTTGTTGTCTATCATATCAAATATTAAACAAGCACAAATGATGCTACAAGTGTAAACGCAAAATCTTTAAGGGCTTCGCACAAAAGGAACAGGAAACAGAGAATAAAAATTTTAATCTATCAAAAATCATGTATTATGGAATACACAGTTTTTGATAGATTGAAATTTTTATGTTCTTTTTATTGTGCGGAGTCCCTTATTTAGATATGTGTTCTCATACTTTTGAAGTTTGAAGTTTTTGAATGGGTGTGACAAATCGCAGGCTAGGCCTATTTACAGAGCAAATGAATATGATTGGTATTATTTACAGATCCAACCAATCATATTCAATTGCTCGGCGAGAAGGCTAGCAGCTTTGTCCGGCTTGAATGCGCCCAATGTAACCTAAATGACGGCTTGGAAGTTAGAAGAGGGAGAGTCTGTAAAAGATAGAAGATAGTAGAAGGGCACTGCGTCTACGAACAGTGCGGGTAGAATATGGGTTGTGGGAATGGCGGTCGTAGTTAACGTGACTTGTAGTTGGCGTGACTCTAGGACTCTTGCAACACGCGAAGAACAAATTTTTTCTTGTGAATTCTGAATGTCAAGTGAAATCCATGTTGAAGTTGAATGTGTCAACTATGTTCAATTGAGAAGGCTAGAAGATCTATCGCATCCATATCTAGGTGAGAGAACGATACTTGTCTTCTATCACAATCCGATTTTCCTTTGAGCCTATGACGAATTAAAATACCTGGAAATCGTTTGCCTCCGAATCTGCAACGAATCTGCGTGTACCTGTCGTCAGTGAAACTTTATATTTACAATGTACGAGATCTTTGCATCGTCATGATTGTTCCGGCCAGCACTGTGCGCGCGAGATAGCGATAATTGTTGGCGGTAACGGTACAATTTTTTATGCGTCAACATTTTTTTCAATAATTAGGTATATGTCAATTCTCTCTAAGGCTACATTCCAAAACTCTCCAAGGAAGATTCACTTTGTATACTATATAGTATATAGTATATGTGACATCTATTACATATTTCAAACAAAATTTTTCTCAAAGAGAACGTTTTGGAATGTACTTTAAATATCATTATATATGTATTGCTTTGATTTTACTCTGTTTTATAAATTAATTACTATGTAATTAGCATATTGAGTTAACATATAAAATGCATTATTCATGACTTTATTGCTTTAGAATCTCTTATGACTATGGATAGTTATCAATTGAATTATTAAGATAAATGTTCTATCATTATGATTAATTTGGCTCTAATATGTGACACAATATATACAATATATATATATA